GAGGAATATGCCAAGACATCTTGGTTGGGCCCGCTATTTGCATATGAGGTTCATGATAGCCTGGACGAGGGAGGAACTGTGGATCCAGAAAACCATTTTGGCCTTCGTCGAACTGATGGGTCGAATAAGCCGGCTGTGCAGGTTATCAAGGCCAATATTGCAAAGTTCAAGTAGTTTACCAAAGGTATTGTAGATAGTTAAGGTCAGAAACTCTAGGCTGACGGTATTGTACTATCATACAAATGTCATCTGTTCTCTCTCCTCCTCGTCGCGAATAATGTACCTTGCTACTCTGTTCTGGTGAGGCGCGGCCGAAAAACGCTAGCACGGATCGGCAATTAGTCTAGCACGAATACAGCTAGCTTTGGGCCTAGCGCGCTTAGCTGCGTCAGGCCCACCGACGCGACTTGACCGACGCGATTTCCTCGGCGCAAAGGAGCGCATTCCAACAACGTCACACCCACTCGGACTCAGCGGCTCGCCCTCTCGTTTGGAGCAACTGCGCTCCTATTTACCGCCAAGCGACATTGCATTGGGGAATCGGCCGCCCAGAATGTCTGTTGCAACGGCACAGGAAGGCCCGGAGTTGGTGGAGATTAGCACCGAACAGCTCGGTTTCCAGATCGCGCTGAGCAACGAAGACAAGGTCAGACTTCTTCCAGAGCCATGGCCCACGAACAACGAGCCTCCGCCTTCGGCATCTTTGCTCAGCGTCGCCTCGCGCAAAGGATTGGTAGCTGCGGCCGGGCCTCGTTCACTCGTTGTGGCCAAGACGGAGAGCGTGCGAAACATGTTTATCAATCATCAGCCAGCCACGGATCGCGTCAGGAAGTTCCAGCCAGAGGCCACTCTTGAAGTTCCCCGCGTCAACCAGGTTGCCTTTACAAGCGACGAAAAGTACTTGATTATTGCAGCAGAGACTGGCGGAGGTCTCGCTGTCTATGATGTAGACGGCATCACAAACGGTAGGACTCAGCCAGATTTCCAAATTGGCACAAATAATGTCAGAGTGCGCCATCTGCTGCCCAACCCCAATTCATCGGAGAACACGGCCCATGTTGTCGCTCTGGTGCTGGATGAAGGACAGCTGTTGCTGGCAAACCTCAAGGAACGAAAACTTGTCAACGCAGCCAATCAAACTCCCGTTTTCCATGAGAACGTAGCCTCTGCGTGTTGGTCCAAACTGGGCAAGCAGATTGTGGCTGGCCGCAACGATGCAACAGCCGTTCAGATCGATCCCCAGGGGAACATCAAGGGTGAAATCCCCGTGCCTCCCGGACTGGCTGCAGCCGTTGATAGTCGTGCTCTGGCCCAGCCACTGTTGTCCATATATTGGCTTGAGACGAATGAGTTTTTGTTGGTGCACACGCCTGTTAACCCCCCGCCAGACCCTCAGCGACCTCGTGGTGTTAGTGCGCCTACCGATGACAGTATCTTCCATATTGCCACCCGGGAGAACCCCAGGAGCACTCATTGGACCTTTCGGCGCGTCATTGATCCCACACCTCCATTCATAGATGGTGGACGGGTGCCGGCCAACTACTTTATCCAACGGCTGCGTGATTGGCCGCCAAACATTGATGACATGCTGTTCATCGTCTCAACCCTCTCTGACAGCGTTGGCGCCATGACAAAGGCCAAGGCGCCGCTTGCCAGAGACAATCCAGTCACTGGTACCTTCACAGCTACAACCCCCATCGACACCCGCCGGGCCACTATGCCCATGAGCATCATGAGCACCGGAATGGAGATTATGGACACTTCGCCCATCGGCATGGCGGTTGACCTGAGCGTCCAGGAAAGGGTCAAAAGACCGATACCTGAAGATGAAATGTTGGAAGAGTCTTCTGGGCCGGTGCCGGCTCTTTGGGTGTTGAACAACGAGGGCGTGTTGGGCATGTGGTATATCATCTACCGAGATTCGATCAAGCAGCAAACCACTTACCCAGATCTTGTGGCTGCTGGAGGGCCAAGACCGGCAGATTCGGCCACTCAGAAGTCTGCAACGCCGGCACAGGCTCCACGGCAATCGGCTTTTGGAGCATCACCGTTTGGCGCGGCGTCTACTCCTTCTGGGACGCCGCAGTCCGCATCTCAGACGCCCTCGCAACCAGCGTTTGGGAAGCCGGCTTTTGGTCAACCCGCCTTTGGACAGCCCAGCGCTCCTGCATTTGGTCAACCCAGCGCACCGGGCTTTGGTCAGTCTAGTGCTCCTTCATTCGGTCAGCCTAGCACTCCCGCCTTTGGTCAGCCCAGTACTCCCGCTTTTGGTCAGCCCAGTACTCCCGCCTTTGGCAATGCCTCTGCGCTGGGCGGTCGGCAGTCGATCTGGGGCTCTGAATCCGGGGCTGCGTCTGTGTCTCCCGTTGCCAAGCAGCAGCCAGTGTTTGGATCAGCATCATCTCTGGGCAACAGTGGACTAGTCAGCGGCTTTGGACAGTTAGGGGCTACAGGACAAAAGACTTCTCCATGGAGCGCACAGAACAATACATCTTCCCAAAACAATTCGGCATTTGGTGGTAATCAATCATCTCCGTCCAACCAGATGCAGCTTAGTTCTTTCGCGAATCCTACCTCGTCTGAGAAGCATTTGAAAACTGCAACTTCCTTTGGTGGCAATGCGTCGAATGCAAGTCCATTTGCTCAATCGGCGGCGTTTGGCGCTTCGTCTTTCTTGGGCAATACTGCCTCGAAGGAGATTTCAGCACCTCAGGGTGGCAAGACAGACACCATAGAGGAGAGCATGGACGAGGAGAAGCCGTCTGAACCGGCCAAGGCGGAACCTCCAAAGCAAGCTCGGGGGATTCTTGGCTCAACCACTCCTTTCAAGTTGGAGAGTTCGTTCAAGGGCGATGGAAATGCGTCTAAAGGGGAAGGCAGCGATAAAGATGAACCTAAACCTACGGGCTCGCCTCAGTTCAGCTTTGGAAGTGCTTTTGGTCAATCTTTGGATGCGAAACCGACCCAAAAGGAAACTGACAAGGATGAGTCAAAATCGAAAGATGTTCCCCTTGCGGGTGACAGTGCTGTGCCGACCAAGATGCCCAGCAGGTTCAAAGGCGACTTGCCTCCTGTGGATGTGCCTGAACCTGTCAAGTCTGAGCGCGCCAAGACTCCTCCGCCTAAAAGTGTGAAGCCTGAGGGGACAAAATCCCGTTCATCTGCACCTGAACAGGCCAGAACACCTGCAACTGAACGTTCTAAATCTCCTGATGCTCCTCTGGTCGGGTCACCGCCAACTGATCTTGCCAAGGATGCATTGGAATTGCAGGGCCCGCCAGAAGATGATTGGGATGATGAGCCTGGAGGTGACACGGAGGAAAACACTTCAGCTCCATCTCAATCGGCATCTCCTGGCACAGAACCAGAATCGACGACTCCGGCTACGCAAAAGAAGCCCAAAAGCTTCACACCAGCTGGTCTGCCACCCGCCTACTTTTCACCGCCTCAGCAAGAATCTCCCCATTCCCCGAGCCCACAACGTCCACAGAGCGCGGGTCAGCCGAGAAAGCAGTCGTTGAAACGGAGCCAGTATTCGACACCCAACCTACCCCGTCCAGCACGCATCGAGGTGCCTCCAGGCCTGCCTGAACAAGACGAAGAGGACGAAGAAGAAGAAGAAGAAGACCGTGAACCCACCGAAGGCGAGCTACAAGACGAAGAAGACGCCCGCATCCGCGAGCTTCTCTCTCGGGAACCCGAAATGACAAAAGACATGCCCCCCTTCCTCGCGCACCAAGGCTACCTCGACTCTACCGAAAAGCCCGGTATCGGGGGCCAAATTGAAAAAGTCTACCGCGACATCAACAGCATGCTCGACACCTTTGGCCTGAACGCGCACGCCCTCAAAGGTTTCGTAGAAGGCCACACGCACCTCACGGACCCCCTCCGCGAAATCGACGACGACGGCTGGGTCCTAGGCGAGATCGGCGCTCTAAGCGATATGCTAGACCAAACCAACGAACGTCTCGAAATCAATACCCTCCCCAACGTCCCCGAAACCCTCTCCAACCTCAAAACCCAAACCTCAAACCTCCAAGCCCTCCACCTCCGCATCTCCGAAATTAGAAAACAAATCCGTCTTACCCAGGACGCAAAACAAGGCGAAGCCTACCTACCCTTATCCTTCACCGCCCCCTTACCAGCAGAAACCCAAACCCAACAATCCGAACTCCGGCACTCAATGCAAAAAGCCCAATCCCTCCTCGCCAAACTCGAAGAACTAATGACCATCCTCCGCGCTGACCTCTCTTCCCCCAAAAACAACTCAACCTGTCAACCACCCACCATCGAAGCAGTTCGAAACACGATTTTGAAGATGACGACAATGATTGAGCATAAATCGGGGGATATTGACCTTCTCGAAGCGCAGATTAAGAGGCTACCGCCTGGTGCACTGCTCCTGCAGGAGGAATACGAAGATGAACTTGTGGAGGGGTTAAAGGCCACTAAACTCCCGCCGTCTTCGGGGAGAAAGGGCGATCACGCGCTGGGGTTGAGTGCTATGTTGAGGACTTCTGGGAGGGAGATGCGGGGGGAGACACTTCGTGCTTCGATGCGTGGATCTATGCGTAGGGAGACGCTTCGTGGTTCGCTGCGAGGGGAGGTTGTGCCAGGGCCGCTTCGCGGATCGCTTCGCTCCTCGATGAGGAATGCTTTAGTTGCCCCACCAGCAGAGGACGAAGTCGAGACTCTCCAGAAGAGGAGGGAGAGGAGGAAGAAGGTCCTAGAGCAATTGAGAGAGAAGTTGGAGGGTTGTTCAGATAGAGTTGTTAAGGCTACGTAGTGAACTTGCTATGAAGTGGGGGGAATGCAATTCGTGGGGTGTTTTTTTTTTCCACAAGTTGCAATGTCGTGGGTTGGAGAGATGTGCTTGATCTTTCTTTTGAGGAGTTGGGATCTGATGTCTAGAGATAAAAGGGAGGTGTGCGATGGATGATGGAAGTTTAACTTCAGAGTTGGGATATAGTTGTTGTTCAATTAAGCCATTGACATGAATGGCATTGGTGGTTTAGTGGTATAATGGTCCGTTGCCATCGGACCGACCCGGGTTCGATTCCCGGCCGATGCATTGATCTGATGTTTTTTTTATGCAGAGACACATGCGTCATGGATTGGGTGCAAACATGGGCAAGGCTGGCGGATGGTCTCTTTGGAGGTTGATAGTGAGGGGTCCGAGAAAAAACTCGTAAAACCTTGGAACACGTGGGGGTGCGAAGTCCTATCCCAAATATTTTGCATGGGAGCCGGCTCTCATTTCGTTGGAAGAACGGGTTGGTGGATGTGGAATTTTTATAGGTTAGAAGCAAACACGGACGAGGCTGGCTGGTTGGTCTCTTTGAAAATTGACAGTCACCAGAAGGAACACGCGAGACTCCAAGGCTTTGGAACAGACGAAGTTCTGACCAAATATTTTTTTGCACAGAGGCAGGATATGATTTCAACGTCGGAAGAGAGGGTTGGTATGTGGAATTGTTGCGGGAAAGCTCGGTTCTTTTCAATTAAATCTTGCTGTGAGATGTGTATGCATGGCTGGGTTTCTGGGACATTATATTTGAGCACATTGTTGCGTTGTGGAATACCTATTCCCTGCTTTTTCCTTGAAATTGGGGGTTTCACTTTGTGATCAATTCTGCCGATTTGAGGGTGGGTTTTAGGATTTTGAGGGAACCTTTGGGATAGCGGTTTTATTTTCGTAGCGGGTTAAGTATGGGTTCCACGTCGGGAGGCATCTGGATTTAATGTGAGTGAGTGGATGTATTGACGAGTTGATCTGCTCTATCTGGGTTCGACTGGAAAGTGTCTTTGAAGTATGTCGATAAGTCTGTGGTGTTGGATAGGTGTGTGAGCACGAGAACGTTTTGGGGTGGATAGACATGTCAGTGGAAAAGGAAGGGAAGGGGTTGAGTGCCACTTGACGGTATCGTTGTCCTGTTGTTTGATCACCATTGCTAAGGTATTGATACAAGTAGTGTTTAAAGGGTAGGTGATATCCTAAGCATACGTGATGGCATACGCTCTGTGCTCAATGCAGAATGATTACTTCACAGTCCTCCTTTGGTTTGGGTGGGTGTTATTCGAAGTAATATCGTGTTCTTCCTTTCGTCGTCTCGCTCTCTGATGATGAAACCATGTATATCTCAATCTTGTCCTCCGCTGGAAATTTGGTTCCTTCTTCCTCTAATCTGGATTGTTTAGACAGGGTGGCTCGTTCACGAAACCCGTGTCTCTTCCACGAGGACCCAGATGAACAGGACTGAGGTATTTGGAATACCCCAGGTATTTCTTACTTTCCTGGTAACTTCCGTAAACGTATCACAAAGAAGCCAGGATATTCAACCCCGTCGGGGGTCAATTCTCCAAGCCCGTCCTCCTTTCTAACCTATTCAAGTGTAGTATACGCACCAAGAACGAGTCAAACCCTCAAAAAACTCCGATTTTCTGTTTCGTATTTTTTTAGCCATCCTCAGACAGTTGTGGAAGAGCCATCATCTCCAAAACCACCAACCCTGACTTTCTCCAGAAAATGGGTTTGTGGGCTCCAGTGCACCCATCACTCGTATTTAACATGACCGAACACAAACTATCGAAAAAATTAACCACGACAGGTTAAGCTACCACAGCACCAGTGGAAATTGCACAATGGGCCAAACAGAATAAGCATGAGGTGGACACTGAAGAGCAATTACTTTCCATCAACTAACCTTCCCACGAAGAGGCAGGTGACTGGTCATATATATACCACATCACAGTTCTTATGTGAACTCCAAGTAACCAGGTGCCCAGGATGATACTTCACAAACGAGTAGTTTTGATATGTACTGCCCGAGGGAGTATTCTGGAAATAAAATTTGGAGAACTGGTAACCTAGAGTTAGCCCTACCGAGAAAAAAGAAAACACTGGGAACGAATGATCACAACGAGACACGTGTAGGTATATTTAAGGAGTCCCCCGAATCAACGTGAAGAGGGGAAATCAATATCGTACTGGGGATTTCCGCGTGGGTGCAAAACCATGGAGTCTTTCGTGTCGGAGGCACAGCTCGTGTTGAGAGGTGTCATAGGTTACTATCCTCGAGGGTCTAAATGCCGACACCCACAGAATGTGTGAGGCAATTCACAACAATGGAGGGATGAGAATAGTCATGTTTAGGATCCATTGACTTGTGAGTACAAGAAGACATCAGGATATGTCTAAATCATAGACGACCGACCAAACCCACATCGTTAGCCATCGTCTTGCTTAATCTGTCACACTCTACGAATGCATTGAAACAACCCATCCAGACCTCGAACCCGCTCCCAACTCCACACGCTACAGTTACAACTTTCATTACTTGCACCTCTTCTCCACAATCGACGAGCCAACCTCGTTATACTCATCTCTCGAAATCCACATCTGGTGAAACGACCCGAGCGAAGCAAGGATCGAGCCGCCTAGCCAGGGTGCGAATTTGCGGTCCGCGGAGGTAGATGGAGCGATAACGCGGACGCGGGGGTTGGGGTACAGAGCCTGGACATCGGCCTGGAGGCGTTCGGGGAGTCTATCCAGAAGGCTTCCAGCACCGGTGACGACGACGTTGCTGAGCAGGGTCGGGCGCGTCTCAACATCGCAGTTGTTGAGGGCACGGTGGACGAGAGAGGGGAGGGTATCTTGGGAATTGATGTTCGTATCTCCTCCGGCACGGGCGTCGAAGAGAGGCTCAGCGAGTTGGTAACGTTCAAGGCCAAAGACGTTGTGATAGCCATCGGGCATCTCGAAGGGACGCGGAGGCGTGTGGCGGGCGGCTTCAATGCCGTGTTCCAGCCGTCCAGGACCTGGCCATACCTGTACCACGCACTCCTTGAAGCTGTGCAGCACTTGATCTTCTTCCTGCGCATTGAAGCTGCGGCGGATGTTGTCGTAGCTGGCGTATGTTGCCTGCGCCGGGCTGCCGGGCTCAACAGCCAGCTTAGATTGGACCCTGTAGTAGGGTACAATGGGCACGGGCGGCGCGAGGCTGGCAAATAGCTTGCGGATCTGGGAGTTGATGAATTCCCCGGCAAGAGGGCTGCGGAAATGACCTATATGTATATACAGTCAGGAAAATGTGAAAATATGATATGAAAGACGCACTTTTTTTGAGCACCATGCCCTCCCATACGGCCGTCACGCTGCTCTGGCGGTGACCGACATCGACGACGAGCGCCGTAGCCTTTCCATTGGCGTAGGCGGCGAGTTGGGCGGACTTTGCAACAAAGTAGGCCGGAACGCCCCAGTCCTCCATGGCAATCTCCAGGATGCGCGCCCGGGTCTTGGGCGACAGGCTGCCCGACTCGCTCATAAGGAGCGGAAAATCAGCGAGCGGCTTCTCTACACCGCCGTCATCCATGACCACGTCCCCGCTTTCATCCTTGGTGTCGTTCAGCCCGTTCTTATGCGGCGGCGTTTCGCTGGGTCCGGTAAGACGCGAAGTAATGGTCCATTCCCAGAGCTTCGCCGCGGCGTCAACGTCGTAGACATCGCCGTCGGCATCATAAGGATTCTTAATTTCCATTCCGGCGCGCGGTACATGGATGGCATTGTCGCCAAAGACGCGTTCACCATCGATTTCGCCGTAGTTTGTAGGCGCGACGCTCTTGGGAAGATCTTCGCCGGCGAACCCTGCACGCGTCGTGTGACTCCCGGGATCCAGAACCAGAGCGTTAATCTCGTCGCCCGCATAGTCATCGCGAAGCGGCGCCTGCGTCGACGGCAGCGCCATTGTGGATGAAGCCCGCAGCTCAGCTTTTCCCGGGACGGACACATGACTCATGCAGTCCTGTGTATCACGTGATTTCTCAACGTCACCCTATCCTGTTAGCTATATCGAAAGTCGGAGAGGTGAGAGGGCAAATGGCTGCTTACGTCAGGGATCTGTTTACGCCAGAGGCTTTGGACTTTCGGTTCGCGGCCAAAAACAACGGCGAGCCGTTGCCTTACAGTCGACCGTCAAGATGGAAGAGTACCGAATTCTATTGTTACTACTTTGGCTTCATGGTTGTGCCGTTTTTCATGTTCAAGAGCGTTTATGATGTTTCACAACCCAGTCACCCAGGCTACAAGCACTTTGAATCGAGACTTTCTCCGGGGTGGATCCCTGGCAGAAAATTTGACAATTCAGATGCTCAGTACAGCAGTTTCCGGGAAAATGTGCCTTATTTAGCCCTCTTGCTAGTGCTGCATCCGCTCTTGAGAGTGACAATCTCTGCACGAGATGGGTTCGAAAGAAGAGCCAGATTCGACCTTTGCTTTGCTCTTGTATTCCTCTTTGCTCTACACGGCCTTTCTGCCTTGAAGATCTTAATCATCTTAACAGCAAATTATGCGCTTGCTACCCAGCTACCCCGGGATATTGTCCCTATCGCTACCTGGGTCTTTAACGTCGCCATCCTCTTCGCAAACGAACTCTGCCACGGCTACCCACTACCCAAGGGCTGGTTCCCATTCGAAGGACTTATCCCGCGATGGGAGATCCTATTCAACATCACCGTCTTACGCCTCATCGCATACAACTTCGACTACATCTGGATGCTCGATCGTCGGTCAGGGTCACCGCTGGAGGTAAGGCCACCGTATCACGAAAGTGCTAAAAATGAGTGATGTGTAGAAAAAGCGAAACGCAGAAACGACCAACGAGCGTGAGCGAGTCTCCTCTGGTGCGTTGCCGTCAGACTTCACATTTGCCAACTACCTCTCCTACACCTTGTACTCCCCACTTTACCTCGCGGGTCCAATCATCAACTTTAACGATTACATCTCCCAAACGCGACAGCGACTCCCATCCATCAACCGCGAACGCATCACTGCCTATGCGTTACGTCTCGGCTTCTGCCTCCTAACGATGGAAATACTGCTGCACTACTTCTACGTCGTAGCCCTCTGCGCAGCGAAACCAAACTGGAACATGTATACCCCCTTCCAACTCAGCATGCTAGGCTACTTCCACCTGCACGTCATCTGGCTTAAACTCCTCCTTCCATGGCGTTTTTTCCGACTGTGGAGCTTGCTAGACGGGATCGACCCCCCAGAGAACATGGCACGCTGCATGA